ACCAGCTGAACCGGGAACCGGACATTTCTAAAAAATCGTAGAGTATGGCTTTAAGGCTTCCACTTCGTTTCCCTCAGTTCCAGCCAATAATGTAAAAAAAAAAATGTTGTTAACCTGCTGGGTTACGAGATCAGATCAGTTTTTAAACAGCAATGTAACTGATTTTGGTAGTCATGCTAGGGGGTTAGTTTTCCCTTGGTGGCACTCATTCAATTCCATTGCAATAACAACTTTTCACCAGAATTTTCTGCGAGAATTATTCATCTCTGCTGTTTTTGACTATTTCTATTATTATAACAATCCGGAATTCTAACAGTTACCCACCTCTGCAGATTTTTGATATAAAATGAATACCTTATGACTATCCTTTTCAAATCTAATTCAATTCAATAATAATAACAAAAATTTTTTAACATCACTGCAGATTTTTATTAGAATAACATATCAACGATGCCTGAGTTAGGATTATAGGTCAGGGTTTAAGATGTTACAGATTAGGGTTAGAGTTTATACCAGATGTCCCAAAAGTTCCTGTACATGTTTACTTTTTTTTTTAAGTGTTGCATAAATAATCATCGCAATCTCTATATAAGGCCACTTTAAAAAAAAAGGACCATGCATAGGAACTTTTGGAACACCCGTTATATTAGTATAAATGCGTAGTTTATGCTGAAGTTGTGATCTAAATATGATACCCGATAAGAAATTTAAATTGAAACTATTGTAAAATTTAAAATTGGTTTTACCTGTAACTTTAACCGATCTGTTAATTTCGGCCAAGTAATATATAAATAAATTAGAGTTATATAAACATTGTAATAAAATTATCAAGTTAAATGCATTGATTTATTATTACCGAAAAATCAATTCAAATGCTTACAACAAACATCAATAGGTTATACATATATTTACTTATGACAAAATTTCTTTTAACTCTACATTATATTTATACTTTAATTCTAGTTCTTTAATACGTACTGTAATTCAGTTTTCATTTTAAACTCCAATTCTAACTTATACTTTTCTAATTTTATCTTTTCTAATTCCATTTGCTTTTGGTGTTCAAATTTTTCTCGTTCCAACTGCAATTTATTATTTTCTAAATCATACTGTTTTTGTTTTGTTTCTGCAGATAATTTCTTACTTTCACTGATAGTAGTCATAGATTTAATATAAATTTCGTCATCTTCATTTAACTTACTATGCTTTTTTCTTTTTAATGAATGGTTTTTTTTTCGGTTGAGCAATATTTGTAATGACCTAAAAATAAATTAGAAATAATGATTACCATTCTATTATTTAGCTCACATATCAGTAAATAAACATGTATATCAATATATTTACCTCTCCCGTGCTGTTAATACGGTAATCTGGATGAACATTCTCCCGGTTGCCAAAAATTTCATTCATTTCTGTTAAAAATTCCCATTTTGAGATGCCTTTACCAGTTTTGTTAGCACTTTCTTTCATATATTTATCAATTA